TGGATATTCACTACTAGAAAGCTAGCTTCCCTCCTGCCCCTGAAAAAGCCCTAAGCTGCTTCTTTGGAGGAGCAGATGGCCTGCCTTCCCCCTATTCTTCAATAGTAGGATCCAGAACCATTCTGCTGCAGTCCATAGTGGCCCACTCCTTTCAGCTCATTAAAATGCCCCAAAGGTCAGTATGGTATTCTGACAATAATCCCACTTCCCAGATGAGGTATCTGAGACTAGCACAGAGCACACAGCAGTGAGAGCACAGAGGGAAGGGTATATGAGCTGCAGCATGATTTAAATGTTAAAGGCTGAAAACAGTAGACTTCAAGTGAAGCATTTCTAACTCTTATGGCTAAGTGCTTATGTGCATTAACATATGAGAATCCCAGCAGGTTATGCATCTGTATTTACCAGTGTTCAAAGATCACACATCTTATTTTAGTATTTTTTCCATTTATTTCAACCTTAATGTTTTATTTATGAATTAAGGATTATTAACGGTTTGAAACTTCATTATAAATTATCCTGGGGGATGTCACTAACCGTGACCCATTAAGTTATTATTCCCAAATATCTAATTTAGATTTCATAAAACATCTATTGAACATTGATAAAATAATGAATTTATTAAAAAATTATTCACAGCAGTAGCATTAAGCTAAATCTGGAACTGAGTCTACAATCTGTAGTTCTGTTGTCAAACATACATGCAAATGTTTGATGTAATCACTTAGTATCTAACATACTGGAACAGACCATCAAACAAACTTCAGTAAAAGATCTATTTAAGATTTTGTTTTTGACAAACTCTTGTGTCAAATGAGATGCAGCCTATGTGTGGGGACCTTGGATCTACCTATTTGTCTGTCTGTCATAGGATTTTATACTGCTACCCATCACTGTAATAATCTAAGACCTTCCACATAAAAATCAATAGGAATAGTGAAGTCCTTAGTGAACTCCTTAAGAGTGTCTCTGGAATTTCTCCCTTTCCAGGTCAAACTATTTTATGGGGTGTTCATTTGTTTTGCTTTGGATCAGGCCTTCAATCTAAATGATAATGTATCATGTTTCTAGAGAATGGCATTATATTTTCAGTGTTAACTTCCTATCCATGTTTCATTGTTCTCCAACAATCTGTTTGCGCAGACATCTCCACTGAGCTGCCACAGAGGATTCTAAGCGCCCAATCTTTTAAAGTGCCCATACAGATTTGTGCAAACACAACAAAAGTATTGCAAACCCTGAAGCCAGCTCAAGTCAAGGTTTGTGTAAGCCCACAGAGATATTCCTGTGCAAACCTCAAACCTCATTTCAGCATAATAAATTTAATAGATATTAAGGTGAGAAGAGACTATTAGGTCATAGGCTGACCTCCTCTATAACACAGGCCAGAGAATTGGTCACTGGTCATAATAATGACCTTGGGGCAGTCATTAAGCTCTCTCAGCTCTTCACGCCCTTTATTTCCCAACACTTAAACCAGATTTTAATCTAGAACAAAATTCTGACTCTTACCTCTAGTATTCTGTATACTTGGTCAAGTTCTGCTCTCTTTATTCAATCCTTACTCAATCAATACTCGTATCGATTTTTATGGGAGTTTTGATTGACTAAGAAAGTATTAAGAACTTCAAGATCCAGGCCCCTTTTATGAAAGACCTTTTGAACATCCACATGAATTACTGGCATCAAGTCACCTTTAGCTACTGCAAAAACAACTCAGGTCGTACAACTGGGAACAAAGATCAATCTCTTACCCGCTCTTCCATGTGTCACATTCTCATTACAGCTACTACATTAACTTTCCCAGAGAAGTCTACATGGCTACAAAAGCACAGTTTTCTCAGTGGAAGTCTCATACAGTCCTAAGGCCCCAATTCAGCAAAGCACCTAAAAGATGCTTAACTTTAGGCACGTGGTTAAGTCCCATTGACTTCTTCCTAGCTTTGGCATGCATTATTCAAAAGAGAAAGCAGCTGGCTTCAGAGCACTCCCACCTGATTCTAGGGGGTGGAATGGCTGCTGAGCCTCCCTCAAAGATTGCTGCTGCCAAAGGTGAAGAAGGATTCACACTTAAAAATAAAAGAGGGGGTGGTTAGGTGTGTGGAAAGGAAGGCTTCTTTAAGCTTTTGATAACCATGCAGGTTTCTGTTAATTTAGCCAAACAAACCTCTACATCTTGTGAAGTTCACCCATCCCTATTAAATTCCTGACCAGTGATGCCTGTGACACAAATGGTAACTCAACAAGGAGGGTCACAAACAAGGATTGTGTAATAAAGGAAACTGAATTGGAAGCCATCCACTTAAGCACTGTACCACCAATATCGTTAATGCATTACAGTAACAAGCAGAGACATAATATTTTATTTTATATGTATAGCATTTATAGCCACCCTTCAGGGAAAAATGTAACTATAAAGACTCCTACAGCCATCCAGGAAGGATAATGAGAGAGGATAAGTATACAGCTAGCCCAAAGAGAAAACAACAAGGCAGAATCAGGACTTAGGCTGAGCTGAGCTAAGGATGGTTTATAAAACATTTTATTTAAAGTTAACATAGGTAAATCATTTAATAATGATTGATAGAATTGCTTTCCAAGTGAATTATTATAAGATATTATAATATTCAGTAGACATGTACAAGTGAGTTAGATCTATCTAACAGTTGATTTGCTATAATAACCTATTCAAAGCATGTCTAAACTGAAGGCATACAATTATTTATTCATATCTCTCGAATGTGTTATAACAATATATTGGAGGGGAATGACTGTTAATTATTTATCATTATTAAGAAAGCACCGTGTTTATGAGTATTACTGTCACAGCCATGCTCTTGAGTTTGTTGTTCATTCCCTGCTTTTGTCTGTGCTCAGCATTGTGGCTCATCGCTGTTTCCCCAGACACCTCAGAATTTGCTCTTGTAAATACAGATTTCTACTTTATGAGATTGTTAAAGTGAGTGCTGTACACACAAGCCTATCCCCCAGCTTTTGGACACAATTAATGTTGATACAGAATACAAAGAATGTATCTATCACACACACCCCATATATGTCTGTTTGTACACATATAAATAAAATATTTGGAGGTGCTACCATGTGATAAATTGAATAGCCATATGATAAATATGATAGTGTTCTGTGACAGAAAGGTTCTAGTGGATTCCACAATCTGTGCCACATTACCCAGGGAGTGAGTTATGCCAGTCATCCCAAACACACATTGTTAAACCTTTGTACCACACCCCATGTACTTTGTATATGCCATGCAGGTTACAGATTGTATATTTTATGAATGTTTTAGATTTTTTAAAAGAAATTCTGGGACTATTTCTTGTAAAGCCAGGTACATTAGTCATCATTAGTCCAATTCTGCAGAATTCTGCTGGAGAATGTAAAACAGCTCTAAAACCGCTTTTCTATACCAAAACAGATCTGCTCTTTGCCTGTGCAATTTAACAAGAAGCCACCATTTTTAGAGGTTTCTCGAGTATGTGATTATTTTACACATCTCTACTGCCAAGATCTGTCAGTTTCAATATCCTAAATAAGGAATACCAGGAATATCCCTAAGCAAGCAGGCAACAATTATTTTTAAACATTATGGAAACTTCCTCTTTCAACGTCGCACTTGCCTAGGTCATGCCAAAGATTTAATGGGCCAGATCCTCAGCAGTTATACAGCAGCATAGCTTTGCTGACTTCAGTGGAACTGTTCTGATTCCTGAAGATCCAGCCCCATGTGTCTTCTGAGTTCAGAAAAGCCTTCTGGAAAACAACACTTAGATTGTTTATCACCATTCTTGTTGTAGTCCAAATAGGGTGTGTAAACTGTCTAAAAGTACAGTTGATGAAGCTTTGTGAATCCCAGGAAGCCACATCTTAATTGAGGGACTATGGAAAAAATTCTTATTTACCAAAAAAATATTCACCACCCAATTCAGTTTCTAATGAATTGGGTGAATCACAAACCTAAGGGAACATGCTTTATTGATTCATTAACAAGTCGTTGAAGCTTGCCTGAATCCATTCCAATGAGACTAAACACAGTAATCCTACTGCATTGAACTGCAGGAAACGGCAGTGTCTCCACATCTGTTCTGATGGATACCCAATGAGACTAAACATGCCCAATAAGAGTAAACACAGTATGCTGCCAGTTTAATGGTAAGTGTGCATAAGAGACAAAGACTCACATTTTCTCTTTATTAGCCCTTATATTGTGCCATCAGCTTCTTTGTAATTTATTTACCCAAGACGGCTTGACTCAGATGCAGCATCTGTTTGTCATTGAAGTCTGGCTCTTCCCAGTTTTACAGATGGATTAAGTAAGCCACAAGGGGTCAGGCTGCTTGCCCAAGGTCACACAGTTAACTATTGCTCAGACCAGATTAGATCCTTGCATCTTGGTATCTGTAGCCAGGTATCCAGTGTTTGTTTTGACTACCAGACCTTACATAGCATGAGACTTAATACGTATGTGTGTGTATTGTACAGTATGATTTATAAACATGTTTTTTAGTTATCTCCAGTATTTCTCATACAACTGTTAGCACAAAAGAGACATCTTCATTGAGGACAGGCAAACTCGGTTTACTTAATATTGGATATTCTCAAGCATTGTGGTTTCAAAATTCAGACTCAAACATTATCTGGTACACATCCTACATGACAGAGTACATTGTACTTATATATAGTGATAAATGTATTTACCATAAAACTTGATACAACAATAGCAATGTAAATATATTGCCATTTTATAGCCAGATTTACTCCTGGATTCTGTCAAATTCCACCAGCAGACACCCAGATGAAGCCCTTCATCACTTCCTCGTTGGCAGAAATCCTATCCAAAAGGATAGGAATAGTTTTAAAAGAACCCAGTTTAAAATAGTACAGCTGTCAATATGTCTGCCTCTCCCATAGATTCACTATGCTAATAGGTGCACCCTGATCTAGTCACCAAATATAACAATATTCTTTATTTTGTACTTCACCTGTTTCCCAGGTATCCTGATCTCAGTGCCTCAAATGGGAGGTCCATGCACAGAACACTGCAGAATCTGGCACAGGATTTTGAGATATCTGTTAATTAGACAAATAAAACAATGAGCAGTTTAGTGACATCCAAAGAGCTTGGGAGAAGAATGTTATGTTCTTTAATTATTTCCTTATTTCTAAAATCAACCAACCTCTGGTGCTAACAATTTTCCTTTAGAATTTTTTCTCAGCAGGGTAGCTCTCTGTGCTAAATTATCACTTTGTGCCATACTGTATGTTCAAAGCAGGCGATATTCAATATACTAAAGAAATACTGAATCTTACAATCAGAAAGAAAGACAAAAGTTTCAAAAAGATTTTAGAATTTAGATTTATATAAATAGCCACACTGAATGCTTTGAAGTTTGCAGTGGAAATCTCTAAACATTTTCTGACTGTGTAGAGTGTATAAACAGACACAAAAACAGGCTTTGTAAGGGAACAATCAGTTTTCCAGCTTAACACTTTCCACTGTCGATATCTGAGAAATACTTTAGCCATAGGAAGTGTTATCAGTGAGGGTAAAATTCACCTTTTCCTGAAGGCCTACGTCTCACTTCTGTGCTATTACTAGAGCTGCTGAAAACAGTCTCAATTGTAACCCTTGCAAATTGCTTTTGGCTGGTTGTTTTAACAGGAGCTAATGCCTGGTACACCACTGCACCATTTTAACTATCCTTGGGGCAATCAGCTCTTCCACAGCTAACAATCAGTACCCAAGAAACCCTGAACTTTATTCGTTGTTTAATTAGAGTTGGAGTTGGACATCAAGAGCTGTTCTATTGAAAGATGAAGCCAAGGTTACCAAAATTTTCATAAAGATTTAGATTTTTAAAATGTTGAGAAAAAGGATTGGAAAGAGGAAATTAATTGAAGAAATGCAGTCCCTATCTGCTGTTTCTTGTCACTTCACTCACAATGAGTGAAATGTTTTCATAGGTTCCTCTGTTCTCTTTAGTATCTGTGTAATTTGTTTCATTTCCAACTCTTCTGATGCACACTCTGACACAAGCTCCAGGGAGCTTCCAGTCTTTAAAAGGTCAGAGAGGGGGGGAGAAGGGGACCCACGAGACAAGTTTCAAATTCTCTTGCTCCAGAGGTGCAGAGCAGACAAATCAATTGCTGCTGGAGGAAAGCAGAGGAGAACTGGAAGCAATGGGCACAACAGGGCACTCCCTGGAAGATCCTGGAAGGGAGATTACCTATGCTGAATGCCTCTTGGGGACCCCTAAATAATTGTAGTCCGGATTGCAATGTCGTGTTCCTGAAGTCAAAGCAATGGGATGGTTTGATGGTGGCTGTGCTGGAGGGGATCTTACAGGTAGTTGAATTTTTTGCAAATATTTCTTGGGCTGAGTAACCCAAGCCCACAGTCATGACCATATCAAAAAGCATCCAAAGACCTAACCATTCTGGTTGCCCCTTCCTGATATATTTTTCTATCTTTCCGTAGAGACAGCTGGTTGAGGAAAGCTCCTCCTCCTAAGCCCACCTCTCTTCGATGCTACCATGCCAGTGCCCACTCCCTGACATGATGTCCTAGCCATCGTACAAACTCCTGTAGGATGGCTGGCATAGTGACGACTGCTAAACAAACCCCAGCTAACCTCAACCTCAGGATTTCACTAACCTCCCAGCTCCCTGCACTGTTACTGCTCCCTCACCTATTCTACGTCTGCATCTCCAAAAAACCACCCCGTGCTTTGATCTTGGGCCTAGTTGTTAATGATAGCAGTGACTTGCTGGAGGTAGTTGAAATATCAGTAAGTAGAACAACCGTCACATCTCTACTAAAAGAGCCTAGAAATAGATAAATACATCCAAAACTGTCAAAGGTAATACCTTCCGACATCTTACAAAGTCCTTTCTGGGGGCATAAAAAACCCTTTGCTACTCATACTTAATATGCTTCTTTTTTACCTTATTTACAATTGTCTATTTAATCAAGTCCATCTGTAATATAAATGTGATCATCATTATGCTAATCTCTGCACTAGACATGCAAATAGATAAACATCTGCATGCCTAATGTAAGTTTTTGTCTATAATGTTGTGTTCCTATTTACTATTTGTATTTTATGACTTATAGATTTCTAAACCTTTAAATTTATATCAGTCCTGTGACATATCTGCAAGCAGAGACAGTTTTATGAGCACTAAAAAAGCTGCAACGCACAACCACTAAATACTAATGACATAAATGGTATCTACTAATGGTCTCTATTTTTATTACAATACAAAACTTCAATATATTGCAATTACCACTGCACTCAGACTGAACCAATACATACTGTACAATGCCAATTTGTATCCCTATTGTATTATTTTCTGTATATAGTTCAGCTCTTGATTGCAAATGTTGACTGAGTGCTCAAGTCAGCAGTTATGGCTAAAATTCTATTTACAGACAGTCTCACTGTTAACTAATACCCTAAGTTGTCACATATGCCAATGCATAGACATTTCCCAAATCCCACAGTATTAATAGCATGTAAGTGTAGCATGTCTTAATGCACCTGTCAAAAACCCAGTCATTCTTCAAAAGTAAAACATGTCAAAAATAAAAATAAAAAGGAAATTAGTTCTTTTAGTTAAAAACTATTAAATGGGCATTTTTGTTATAAAATATTGCAGTGAGCCAGGGTTTGACAGCATGAGTCTGCAACAAGGTTGACAATATGAGGCTGCTTTTTCTCTTGAAAATGAATTGTTTTTAATATCAAATGCCAGAGTCCTCATTCAAATGCATAACAAGGGCGGTACCATTTATTTTACTTTAATTATCAAAAAATTGAAATTGTTCTCTTAGGACTTTGAGACACGATGGGATTTCCAGTGCTGCCAGCATGATCAGAAGCAGGAGGTACCTGGGAACTGTCTCTCACATATGAATCACATATGGCTACAATAGGCTTTAAATCAGTCTCCTAGAGATAAACGGCGGTCCAGTCTGTGAATTTGACCAGTCAGAAAATGGCAGGGAAAGATGACTTTTCAGCTCATTTGTGACTCTCCCAGGACTGTAGAATCCTACATGGAACAAACCAAGGAATACTATTTTACTGATATTAGCCTGGGGAGAACTTCTAAGAAAGACTGAAGGAAAAGTTCTCTGCTACCCTGCAGCTTGTGTAGTCATTTCCCCACAGTGCACACTGATGGTCATAAATGGCAGGTAGATGGTTACCATTCTGATTTGATCATATTTAACATTCCCTTTGCATCAGTGCAAATGACTACAAGACAACAGACACTGTGACCCACAAAAATCTTTCCCACTCTAAGGTTCTCTCTAGTGATTACAAGACCAAACTGGCAGATGACATCAGCGTAATTATTCCAGATTTATACTGGTGTAAAAATTGCAGTGTCTGGCTCCAGATCTGGGCATAATGCCTATTGCCAACCTAAAATCGTTCAAGAAACATGTTTCATTTCTCACAAAAAACTTTGGTGAAAACAAAAAAGTTTTCATTTTCATCAGAAGATCTGTAGAGTTTTTTGGATTTCTATTCAAACCCTCCCCCAAATTGAGAAAAACCTAAAATTTTCTTTGTCAAAAACGCAGTTTTCTCAAAAAAATTTCAACCAGCTCCATGCCAACTATGTACTTACCTCAGTTCTATGATACAGGTGTCTGGGCAGATGGGCCTGCTGGGGAGAGAAGGTTCATATGGAACTTGCCTCTGAGAAGATTCGAATGAAATGACTTGATGGGGCCCCATATTGGTCTGAAGTCACCTTGGTGTTGAATTGGGATTAGGACTCGGGGCTGCTGCACTGAAACTGCTAGATCATTCATCTTTTCATTAACTTTGTAGTCCTAGGTAGCAAGACTGTACGGAACTGCCAAGTGTCACTTCACAAGCACCATAGCCTAAGAATTTACTATTTGTAAGAATGTGCCCACAATAAAATTTTACCATTTCTGCCAGTAAATACAGCTTTTTCTTTCTTTTTTGCAAACATGCCAATATTTCACAACAAACAAAGCTGAATTTTCCTGACTTTAAACCACTACAAAAGGTTTCCATTTTTATGGCAAAATTTGCATGTGTGTTAAAAAAGATTTTCCACTGAATGCATCCAATGAAGTGAGCTGTAGCTCACGAAAACTTATGTTCAAATAAATTGGTTAGTCTCTAAGGTGCCACAAGTACTCCTTTTCTTTTTGCAAATACAGACTAACACGGCTGCTACTCTGAAACCTGTCAAAAAGGTATGTTTACCTATGGGAAATGCCATTTCACTTTCATGAAAACCAGCTAAGGATTTGAGGCAAGCGCACAAAATGTATCACATTATTGCAAAATTATAGGAGAAAAAACCACTACAAAAGGTTTCCATTTTTATGGCAAAATTTGCATGTGTGTTAAAAAAGATTTTCCACTGAATGCATCCAATGAAGTGAGCTGTAGCTCACGAAAACTTATGGTCAAATAAATTGGTTAGTCTCTAAGGTGCCACAAGTACTCCTTTTCTTTTTGCAAATACAGACTAACACGGCTGCTACTCTGAAACCTGTCAAAAAGGTATGTTTACCTATGGGAAATGCCATTTCACTTTCATGAAAACCAGCTAAGGATTTGAGGCAAGCGCACAAAATGTATCACATTATTGCAAAATTATAGGAGAAAAAATTGTTCAACCTTCAGTTTGAGAGTTATCTTTCTTTCTTTCCACATCCTGGACATGGCCCTGTATGGATGCCTTTGGGAATGTCCCTTTCGGTATATCTAGATGTTTGCTAATTGGATATCTCTTGCTCTGTGTTTCTTTTTCTTTAATGTCCCATATACTCTTTGCCTTTAAAATCACTTTTCTGTCAGCTGTGTCAGCATACTCTAATTCTGTTCCCTTTTTAGCATGGAACTCTACTTTGTCTGAAAATGCAGCTTTCAATTGAACATGTTTTTATTTGGGCTTATGTACCTTTAATTTCATGTCTGTATGGAACTGAACACATTTAAACTGATCATTTAAAACATGCAGAATCCTAAATAATAATAAAAAAGAGTGATTTTCTGAGTTGAAAACATCATTTA